CACACACTTTATTCTACATCCATGAATATACCTGTGCCTTATAAACAACACCCAGAACTACCTGCGTATGACACACACTACATCTATGACTGTACCTATGCCTTATAATCAAGATTTACACACAATAAACTTCTCAGGGTTTAAGAGGTACGTATTGTATACTGTATTTGGACCATCCTACCATAAAAAACAACAATATTTAAACAATTTTCTTTCACTCACAAATTTTGATCTTTAAGTGTGTACTTGACTCCTAAAATTTGACCATGAAAATCAATTAGAATCAAGTTCGAGACACAATTAATCATCAGTGTACAGGTGGAAAACTCAAAGCTATAAGTCAACATAAAGCCAATTACTATTATTAATTTTAATTAATTTTAATAAACATTTGTCGTATACGTTTGACGTATAATCAGTTGTAAACTATGATAATAATACCCCGCAACTTTGGGGTTGGCACAGAAGAAGGTGTAAAAATGTTTTCATAGTTGAAAACATTTTAGGATGGAATAGTGCATTTTATCGTGTTAACAAAGAAAGACCTATCAAAAATAATTATTGCAGTACATGTAATACTACATGTATCTACACTTCACAATTCAATGTTTAAATGGCATTCAAAAGAATTAAAAAAACAAGAAGATTGTGAGCCAATGCTCACTAGTAATACCCCCGCTTTGACGTGAATGTACACAAGTTCAGTTATGGACAGAGACAAGAATGAACAAGAAGTTGACATCAGATTCGTACAAAAATGAATCCCACAATATGGCATGCCTAAACAAAGAGTGTGCTAAAATTTCAAGCATCTGCGATGAGTAGTTGCTGAGAAAACTGTGACGAAAATTTTGTTACGGACAGGCAGACAGACTGACACACAGACAGACGGACAGACAGACAGACACACAAGGGTAAAAACAGTATACCCCCCTTTCCTTCGGAGCGGGGGTATAATAACCCAATGATGAAACATGACATAAACAGGAGGGGAAAATGAGGAAAAAGTTGGACTTTTTTTCATGTGCTTAAGAGCCCTCTATACACTGCACACTAAAGAGTTCTAATTTTGTGGTACATTTATGCAAATAGAGTAATCTGCCCTTTCAATAAGAACAAGCATTATGAGAGTATTGCATTAGCAATACTAGTCCCCTACCGGCAAGTGTAATCTGGTTCCCGTTAAAAATTGAAAATGCCATAATTCCGTCAAAAATCAATGAAGCGGAACGAAATGCAAACTTCATCTATAACTCATCAAGGTAAAGTCACATACCAAAAATCAGCTCAATATCTGCAAACGTTTAGAAAAAAATGGGGAAAACCCCGAAAAAATGAAAAGGTCGTAATTCCGTCAAAAAGCACTGAAGCGGAAAGAAATGCAAAATTGATCTGTAACTCATCAAGATACACTCACATGCCAAAAATCAGCTCATCAATATCTGCAAGCGTTTAGAAAAAAAGTTCGGAAAGCCAAGTGGGACAGACAGACAGACAGACAGACCGACAGGCGGACGGACAGACTCAGAGGAAACCTATAGTCCCCTCCGGCTTCACCGGTAGGGGACTAATAAAATAAATTGAAACCGGAGGGGACGATAGGTTTCCTCTGAGTCTGTCCGTCCGTCTGTCTGTCAAACTGTCCGTCTGTCTGTCACTCTGTCCCACTTGGTTTTCCGCACTTTTTTCTAAACGCTTGCAAATATTAAGCTGATTTTGGTATGTTAGTGTGTGTTGATGATTTACAGATCAAGTTTTTTATTTCGTTCTGCTTCATTGATTTTTGAGGGAATTACAATCTTTTTAATTTTTAAGTGTTTTCCACACTTTTCTCCCAAACGTTTGCAGATATTGAGTTGATTTTTGGTATATGAGTGTATCTTGATGAGTCACAGATCAAGTTTGCATTATGTTCCGCTTCAATGATTTTTTGACAGAATTACAGCATTTTCAATTTTTAATGGGAACCAGATTACACTTGCCGGTAGTGGACTAGTATTGTTAATGCAGAAAGCTTGTCTCAATAGCTCTAATACGCATGCTTGAATAAACCATATGATAGCAAGAATGATAGTAAAATTCTGCCACCTATCGCAGAGTTAATTTAGAAAGTTGACATATTGGAATGATTTTTTCATATTCATATACCGAATATTTATGTGAATTTTATCAAAAAACATAACTTACTTGGGAAAACAAAGAGAGATAAGTCTATAATTTTGGTAAAACTTCATTTCTATAGAAATCAACGGAAAATATTTTTACCCCCCCCCCCCTTCACTGAAACGACAATTCCTTTTAAAGTATTATGAATTGTTATTTCAGAAATTCAAATTTATACCAATTGTTTCTTGTTTCAGGGGAGTGGGTTGTTGGGAGGGGGGGGGGGTATGAGGGTGTAGAACATATATTTACATACTAAAAGCAGCAAAAATAGTCATTTTATTGCCAATGAATCTAATATGTCAGTTGACTTTTACATAAGTTAAACATACGGAGAGATTTGATGGTTATTTATCCATTTCCATGAGTATTTGAAAATCTGGATCACTTGTTATGTTTAAAACCCGATTTCAATTTATAAAATTGTCTAACCCTTCCCCCTCTTTATGAGAAGAGTTTTAAATGAGCAGTTAACTTTTTGACACTGGTTTTAAAATAATTAATCCATTACCTATAAACTCTTCTACAATAATGATAAAACTTGGCAGAAGTTGTGAAGGCGAGGATGGAGTATATCGAAAGAAGGAGTATTTCCTCTTAAAAAAAAGACTAAATCCCAAGCTTTCTTGCAGGCATATATGATTCAATTTTTTTGACGGGGTGGGGGTTGCATTGCGGGTGGGGGTTCGGGTCACAAACGACAAAAGAACAAACTTTTAGTAGAGCCTTGAGTTACTTTTCTTCGATGTTGTTAATAACGCAAAGTTGCAGTCATGGAAGTAGAATAAAGTGTGTGTACTGGACAGGTACAGTCGTGAATGTTGTTTTTAAGGCACAGGTACAGTCATGGATGTAGAATAAAGTATGTATATATGCACAGGTACAGTCGCGGAAGTTGTTTATAAGGCACATGTACAGTCAGGGATGTAGAATAAAGTGTGTGTACTGGACAGGTACAGTCGTGGATGTTGTTTATAAGGCACAGGTACAGTCATGGATGTAGAATAAAGTATGTGTACTGGACAGGTACATTTTTGGATGTTGTTTATAAGACACAGGTACAGTCAGGGATGTAGAATAAAGTGTGTGTACTGGACAGGTACAGTCATGGATGTTGTTTATAAGGCACAGGTACAGTCATGGATGTTGTTTATAAGGCACAGGTACAATCAGGAATGTTGTTTATAAGGCACAGGTACAGTCAGGGATGTTGTTTATAAGGCATGGGTACAGTCATGGATGTTGTTTATAAGCACTGGTACAGTCATGGATGTAGAATAAAGTGTGTGTACTGGACAGGTACAGTCGTGGATGTTGTCAATCAGGCACCGGTACAGTCATGGTGTAAAATTTCTAGAGTTGTCTGGACAGTACAGCAGAATCTTAGAGAGTAGGATCTAATAAAAATATTTACTTATACAAATATTCTCTTCGGATGTTATCGATAATTATAGGATTAATTTCCTTTAATATGAGCAATTATTTAATACCATGCCCTACATATTCCAGGTATCACACCACGGTTATCGACCAGTCAAGATGTTAATTGTTTCATGCATATGAAATTAATTTTTATTTCTTTTGAGAATTTTTTTTTTTTTTTTTTGGGGGGGGGGGGGGGGTCTTCCAGCCTATTTTTACAACTTTGATACCTGTGCCTAGTAAATTTTATGTACTTTGTAAATAAATAATTTTTTTTTGTCAGGAACTATTCTTTTTCAGGGCATAGGATGCTACTTCCTGGGGTGCACTTGAGATGTTTATATATAACACATTGAAAACGGGTGGATCAGCCCATTCCACCCGTATATATCGTAAGCCATATATTTATGGGAAAAAACCTGTGCTTTTCATTGACACCTCTTGCGTGATCAATGAAATGGGTGAAATTAATAATATTGTGACGTACTTATACTTTCTAACATAAAATTAAAGATTACAAATTAATTCCAATTATTTTAATTTCCTTTTTTATTTTACTTTGTTTATTGTTTACTCGTATATTTTCTATAATTATACTAGCATGTTTCATTTTAAATTCATCATTGCTATTGAGCATGTAGGATATTGAAATCATGCCCCCAGCCCCCCCCCCCCCCCCCAAAAAAAAAAAAAAAATTAAGACCTGGCTCATATTGTACTCTGAACATAAAGCTTTAAATTTAAATCTGTAAAAGTTTTGGATCCTTCCCTAATCACTGCTGACATCGTTTGTCTCGGTATCACTGTCATGGGCAATATAAAGATTAGCGTTAATTGCGCTTTGATTGAATTCAGTCTAAATCTAAATCGGAGAAAATCCACAGAATTTTTTGTTGTGGATGTTATTAATCAAGCGCGGGTTAAGTTAATCAAGCGCGGGTTGAGTCAGTGGTAGTGTGTATGTACGGCACAGGTACAGTCGCAGATGTTGTATATCAGGCACAGGTATACAGTCATAGATATACAAAATGTACGCTGTAGTAAATGTTACTTTTTAGAGATAATAGCGATCTATGCAATGGATTTAGGCATAGTCAAGCTTACAAATATATTTTCCGCGATATATTCACTAAGCTAGTTATCGTTACCGTTTTGGCGATTACAGCCTTCCATAAAGTAGATTAATTATTAACACATTTCGTATGTTTCATTAAAAAAAACAATTCATACTTAATTAACAACATACAGTTTAATACGTTGAACAATCCGGAAAGTCTTGCTCTGACATTCCGTTTTTGATATTAGTGAGCAGGTACAGTCATGGATGTCCGGTACCAGCATTGCCGAGTACAGTTGCGGATGATAGCTGACAGCCACTGTTGCAATGAAGTGTTTCATTCATGTACAGAGTGAAACAAAAGTAGTCAACATGACTAGCTTTAGCTGTCCATGCAAGTCATGTGATGCCAACCAATTCAGATGAAGAAATGGACAATGTATCCCGGCAACCTTCTAGTGTGATGGTGTCATCGATTGCGACAACGATGAAGTTGGATGCTGTATGTCATTCATACAATACAATTCATACAATAACTTTATTAAAACATCAATAATCATGTAGTGCAATTTAAAATAGATAATGTACAGAGACTTCCAAAAACTGTTATTAAATATTATGTTACATTTTGATTTTTAGTGGTACAACCTCATTTCACACCTCCCTCTATCCCCACACTGTCACCAGTTCCCGGCTCTCATGTGGTGCCAGTCAACCAGTCAACTCCTTTCCACGACGGCCATCAGACACACACCAAACCTCAAAGTAAGTGACAGAAATTAAACTCTTTTCTTAAAGGTCAAATTCATAGGAAATAGAAACACTTGTAAATGATATATGTTGTAAATGATAGTTAAAAAGAGGGAATCACAATATTCGTAAAATTTTAAACCTCATTGTTTTCTTAATTTACCTGTTTAAAAATCTCTAAAAATAACGTTTATCAATAGAGTTACTCCCCCTTTTTGTGACGTCATAAGAGACAATCGACATCAGAAACTGATAGTAGTAATAATATAAATATAGTATAAGTAGTATAAATATAATATAGTGCTCTCGATTATCTTAAAAAATGGCAAATTTTAGGGAATGAAGATGTTTATATACCAGAGGTAGATCTTTCATTTAAGAATAGGTTCTACATGTTTGAGCCAATCAAGGAAAGTACATGAAAATGATTATTCTTCTTCGACCGATTCTGTTTCGTCCTGAAGGCTTCAGGCGCCTACATGTGTAGCTGCCTAGATATGCAAATACGCAAGTGCGTTCACATCAACGCCCCCCCCCCCCCCCCGAAAAAAAAACAACAAATAAGTAAGGAGAGAGGGAGAGAGATCCGAAAAAAAAAACCAACATTCCCATTCAACAAATATTGTTACTGTTTTTACTTGAATTTAAATTATCATGACTCTATAATAAAATTTGAAACCCTTTATTAAACCATTGCCAAGTCATTTATTGATTTATAATTGTTCTTTACGAAAGTCCATTGAGCTCATTTTCGTACTAAGTAAAAAAAAATATATTTTTCGCGTTAGAACGCGAAACTTTCACGAGTAAAGGCGTAACTTTCTCGTTATAACGCGTAACTTTCGCGAATAAACGCGTAACTTTCGCGATATAACGCGAAACTTTCGCGAATAAACGCGTAATTTTCGCGTTATAATACGTAACTTTCTCGTTATAACGCGAAACTTTCGCGAATAAACGAGTACCTTTCGCGAAGTAACGCAAAACTTTCGCGAATAAACGCGTAACTTTCGCGCTTTAACGCGTAACTTTCGCGTTATAACGCGAAATTATACATATATAGTCATGTTACTCAGGAACCTGTGATCTTGACTGACAGATAAAAACATGAACGCAGAGGGGGACTTCTATGAATTTATAAATGACATTTCTTCAGAAGATGTAAAAGAGAATTGATGCGAGAAATGGATAGATTAGTGTTGATTTTGCATTTAATCTCAAAACCCTACTAATTAATTAAATGAATATTCCTTTAAAGATTTTTTTGTTTATCACTTGTTTAATCAAAGAAATTCTGTAGACTAATTTTTTTTTCTCTGGAAGATCTCCACTCGTTGCTTTCTTTGAATAAATTGTGAAAATTTTCGTAAGTAATGGTATGACCAAGTGGTGCAACCTTAAAATACAATGTTGTATTTCTACAGTGAGTCTATCGGAGATGAAATATTTGATACGAATATTTGTCATCCAATTTTCACATTAGATTACTCATGTGATGTGACACAATCGTTCCGTGAAATATACAAATTTACCTCAATGCTTCAATTTTCTGAGATCTTTTATTTCAAATTCTATACAGAGTGTTCAATCTAATTAAAATTAGACTTGTATTTCGCTCCTCTACCATACGCTTCAACACTTGTATTGAACAGCATTGAGAAAGACAAAATGTGACGGCAAAAAAGATTTAGAAAGAGGAAAGACACATTCAATGGCGAGAAAACATAAAATTTCAGCTCGTGATAATCCAAGTTCAAAAGAGTCTTTCGTTTTTCACTGTAATGAAAAAACTAGATCATTAAAAAGTAAAACAAACTGTAGACTTATGCAAATGTCTCTGTTTTACAGGGAAAGTTTGGCGTTATAACGCGAAAGTTTCGCGTTATAACGCGAAAGTTACAATTTGAAATAAAACCAAGAAATTTGTGAGCCGTTTTATGTTTTTTTTAAAAAAACCTGTAAACTGGTCATGTAAAATGTCGCTCAGATAGCGTCGCATGTTGATTGGGTTCAACACCATCTCTTTTTAAATTTAATGTCCATATTTTCTTCAATTTCGGGTCCTTAGAAAATAAATATATACTCATGTCTTGTCCCCATTTATTGGTACAGTTAAAAGCGCACACGGCAACATCTCGCCAACAATAATGTTCCAAACCCGGCAATATAAAGTTTGTACTTTCTATTTTTCGTTGTCTCTTATGACGTCACGCAACAAGGGAGAGAAGCGATTTACAATAAGCGATCCACTTGTCACACAGGTAAATTTAAACGACGATAAGTGATGTAATTGGTGGCAAAAAATTAAACAGACTATATAATGTTATTCATATTGTTCCAAAGGCTGATAATCATGAATAAGTTTGGATTTTCAAAAAAATATTATACTTGACCTTTAAGGACACAGTGAAAACAGTACGGCTCTGATGAAAGACTACATGGTTTTTTTTATTCTTCTTATTATGTGTTACATTTTAACAGGATGTACTATGATGTTAAAGATTTTTTTTTAAAAAAAGAAAATTATTATAAACATTAAATTTCCCTAAAATGTACTTAGGCAAAGTTAGATGACTAGATACATTTACATTATATACAAATGATTTAAACAATGTCAAAATGACATTAGTAATCAAACATAAGAAGTCCTTTTTTTATCGCTTAATTAAATAATTGTGAAGCAAGAAAAAGGACTTCAACAATATCCTAATATTATATACACTAGTATCATGTTATGTAGGTCTGTGTTTGTATAACATGTGGTATGTGCTCATTTATGGGGCTAAATATCAATTCTAAAAATTCTTTTATCAAAAACATTACTGTTTAGTTGAGAAAACAGTTTTTTGCAGAATAAAAGTCACTTAAAGGGGTAGGGGGGGTCTCCCAACCAAATTACAGTAATATGGTATGTAGATAGACGTGTATACTTTACTATGACATAAAATTTATTTCAGCTTGCCACTCTCGCTGGTCAGGCTGGATCAACACGCACCACCCTAAGGACCCAGGAATTCATGGGGATCATGAGCCCTCTGCCGCCCAATTTTCCAAAACCAACAATTTCTGTATTAGTGGCTCTATAACAAAAGTTGAATGTTACTCTGTCTCAATGGATGCCCCTGCTGAGTCCTCGGGCGAGATCCTGACCTGTACCCCCGACAGGGGACTCGTGTGTGGCGACTCGGACAAATTTCCATTCCATGCAGAGATTACAAGATCAGATACATCTGCGCATGTGGTACATAAAACATTTTCACAAAAATATATTAGACATAATTCTTTTGATCAAATTGATTTTCACCTGGAAGGTGTTAGACTTGTTATAAATTGTATTCTTTTTTAAAATTTGTTACAAGTGATGTAAAGTAAAAGCTATTCCTGCAAAATATCATAGGACTTGGAAGGCAGCTGTTTTTTTGTATGGTTGGTGATGCAGGAAAATTTTGATGAATCGGTGACTGTTTACTGGCTCAATTAAGATTTGTCAATGGTTATTAAGGGTAATAAATTGTTATTAATTTTTGTAGCATATTAATAAATTTATGAAGACTGTGGTTTTGTTTGTTTTCTTTCATAAGAAGTCAAAACTATTTCGGAAAGTTCAAAGTTTCATAGAATCAGTTCCAGCAAATAATGTTGTGAAATAGGCAGATGACTGAATTTCAGTGAACGTATTTTACCCTTATCAGAGAGAAAGGTGCCCACGCAAGCAAAATGAATAGTTAATATTTCTGGTGCCCGTTTTACAAAAGAACTTACGACTAAGACCAAAAACTTGAGTTGATTGCAAAACTTTGCAAATTTAATAATTCTGTTTAAATTATTGCTAGAGTAAAAGTATTTTTCTACATACCTTTTAAAAAGATTAAAACCATTTTCTATTTAATGTAAATTAAAAAGTTACTAACAGAATTAAATTTTGGTCTTAGTCGTAAGTTCTTTTGTAAAACGGGCCCCTGGAGATTTTGTTGAACTTGTGACATTTTACTAAGATTGATCAATAATCCCACCAAGAACAAAAGATATACTCTGCTTTTTAAAAATCTGAGAAAATGTTAATGCAGATCTGAATAAAAACTGAAGTTATTAGTAAATAACTGATTTTGTGAGGATTGTCTGTGAGTGGGTATTAGTATATAAATGATTATGTGGTATAGTCCTTATTTTGCTTCCATTATGTATTGGTGAGAAATGTAGATTACTATTATTACATTTATTCCACAGAACTGCTACTATCCATTCTCATGGAATTCTTTTGCTGGAATAGCCCTTTAAAAAATACTGAGCATTGTTAAGCAGTGAGGAATGAATATGATGTCTTTTGTAATGAATGAGTGATTTTTCCCCTTTTCAGCTAACAATACCTCAGTTGTGTCCCCTGTCACAACGCCAGCCCCTCAGCCCTGTGAGTAAAGTCTATTTCAAGTCTGGAAAAAATATATGCTTACATATATAAAAAATCACAACAAACCTGACCTTGTAGCATATTTTTATAGTGTTACGTGAAATGTGAGGAAATCTTAAACATGTATAGGCCTAACTAAAGTGGATCTATGTCATTTCCTACTCCTTGCAGAATGTTCTTCAGTTTTTATTGTTTAGATTAACAACATATTCTAATTTTGTCCATAGCTCGTGATTCTGTCCACTGCCAAGCTCTGGTCAAACCTCCTATGATGCCCGGGGAGGTGGCCCGAATCGTGAAGACCGCTGACAGGTGTTGTGATAAGTATGAGTTGGTTTGTAAGCCTGAAACCTGTACGATCCACCCCCTGACTTGCACCCCTCCTCAGCTAATGAAGAATATCAACCCGGGGGAATGCTGTCCAACATTCCAGTGTGGTATGTACCACGGACCTTGATATTCAATTGGGATTTATTAGAAGTTGGGATGGGATGGTCAATTTTTTTCTGCTACACAGCAAATTAGTCCTTGTATAAGTTAGTCATGAAATTAAAATCAAGTATTTTAAGATTTTTTTTTAAATCATTAAAAATAATGGTATGATATTTGACAAGTATAAAACATGAACACAGATATGGTCTTAAAGGGATATTTTAGAAGGGAGATTTGCTAATTTAAAAAAAATGGTTTTTAATTGTCTGTCAGAATATTTAAATATAAATTTATTTATTCATATTAAGGTAAATTATCCCTCTGCTCCAAATTTCACAATTTTTTTTTTTAATTCCCAACATTGATTTTCATCAACAACAATAGCATTAGATTCAAATGGAAATTAGTTTGAAGCATGAAGTGTTGCTTACTTTTTTTCAGAAATGAATATTATGTCTTATCATGATGTAAAGAAAATTCGATATGGTGAATAGAAAGATCAATATTTTTATCTCATCCTAAAATTAAAAATATGAGGTATATATGAAAATAATATCTACTATCATACCTATCTAATTCAGATTAGAAAATATAACAAAGCGTTGCTTTTTAAATCAGAATATTACATTTAAAATAAAAATTCATCCATCTACAAGAGTTATCTTTCCATCTACAGGAGTTAGCGTTCTTCGAAATATTTTTAGTGAAAAAAAATCAATTTATTGTAGAAAGTCTAGCTGGTTAGTCTGCATCTAAAATTAATGTTACAATTACCAGGTAAAAGGTTATATGTTAAGAGATAGAAATATTTCAATCTCAACAGTTTAAAGGAACTGAGTATGAATGTTTCAGTTAAACTATTAAAAGTAATTAATAAAAATATAAGCAATAGAAAATATAAATAATTTTTTGTAACTTAATTCAGAATTGAATGAGTTGACTATATAATGGTTCTCATTATTACACTCATTGAATTTCTTGGAAAAATTTCCTTGGAAAGTTATCTTTCTTACCAGAGGGATATTACACCTTAAGTGAAATTCATTTTTTCAGTATTATGCATCGAAAGCTACAATATTTAATGCTGTATGATGCTTTTCGTTATAGAGTGCCCAGCAATGTGTCCAACCGCAGTTAAACCGACATGTCAAGTGGTAAGTATTATTATTATGCAACATCATTATTTTAAATCACAACTCTCATAATTTTGAAAAATTCAATTAATTAACTGCTCTTTAGGACCCTTTAAATGATATTTTAGGGAAAAGTTACTGTGCCATTAGATACTACATGTAATCGTACCAGTTACATATGTGGTAAGTACTCACAGTAATTGTATCAGTTACATTTGGTCAGTGCTAATAGTAATTGTATCAGTTACACATGTGGTCAGTGCTAACAGTAATTGTACCAGTTACACATCTGGTCAGTACTAACCGTTATAGTACCAGTTACACATGTGGTACGTACTAGTAGTAATTGTACAAGTTACACATGTGGTTAGTATCAACAGTAATTGTACCAGTTACAAATGTGGTCAGTACTAACAGTAGTTGCACCAGGTACATGTACGCATGTGGTAAGTACATATATTAACAGTAATTGTTCCAATTTGGTAAGTAATAACAGTAATTGTACTAATTACACATTTAGTAAGTACTAAAATAACTTGTTCTAATTACACATATAAGACGTGCTACAGTTTGCAAGTTATTCATATGCATGTAGTGGGTACCACATTAAAATACCAGTTGTCACATGGTAAACACTACTGTACTTAAACAAGACACGCATGTAGTAAGTACTACAAATAGAATTTTAAATATGGCTCTTTCAAATGGTGAATCTCTGTACACTGTAATTTACATGTATTTATAATACAGCTGTGTTTTAACATGCATACTTTACTCCACTACGATTATGGGTTGACATTGACTCGTTTTGATTCCAGTGAGCCGTGTCGTTAGACCATGGACCTGCAGTCTGCTGGTACATACATTCTAATGGCTCAAACCTTTCCTACATGGTAAAACTTTAGACAGTTTGGAGTTATTTTCTTGGAGCCTTAAAATTATCACTTAACCAGAGATCTACTATGACTTTTGCATAAGAAAAGAAATCTGTAAGATTAGTTATATGCTACATATTAGTATGGTATCATCAAACATTGTAAAAAAAAAAATCATAATGTCAAGTTTCATTGATCACATGTGATTTCATCACACAAACTTTATATTTTGAGGTGTATAATCAAATAACTGCATACAATTGCAAATTGAGACTTTTTGAAGTGCATGCTATTTTTTTTATCCAGTGTCAGTAGATTAAACTGTATTTTCAATTTTTAGTGTACTTTCCAATATTTTTGTGCCTACATTAGGGGAGTGAAACTTTGACAGGTGAAGTATGTAAATCCTGTGAATGTGAGAAACGACTGGGAGGAAATGAAGAGACAGTATGTAACCGAGAAAGATGTAAAGCCTGCCCTCATGTGAATATTAAACAAAAGAAATAACTGAATGTCAGAGGTATGTTTTTAGAGAGATGTAATCCCTGCCCCTACTGAGTTCTAAACAAGGGAGATGATTGAATGTGAGAATATGTCACCGAAAGAGTTGAAAGACCTGCTCTCTGGAGAGTAGTAAAAGTGGGAGATCATAAAATGTGAGAGCAGTGGGGGTATCACTGAGAGAGATGTAAAGCCTGCTTTCTGGTGATTATTAAAAAGGGAGATTATTGAATGTAAGGATATGTCACCGAGAGAGATGTGAAGTCTGCTCTCTTTTGAGTATTCAAAAAGGGGACTATTGAATGTGAGAGTATGTCAACGAGAGAGATGTAAAGCCTGCTCTCTGGTGATTTTTTAAAAAGGAAGATTATTGAATGTGAGAGAAGTGGGCGGTAACGCTGAATGAGTTGTAAAGCCTGTCCTCTGGTGATTATCAAAAAAGGAGATTATGGAGTGTGAGAGCAATGGGGGGGGGGTATCACTGAAAAAGATGTAAAGTCTACCCTCTAGTGAGTATGTCAAAAGGGAGATTATTAAGTAAGGAGGATGATGTCACTGGGAGAGATGTAAAGCTTGTCCATTTGTACGAATTTAACATGGGAGATAACGGAATGTGAGAAGTATGTCATATATCATTTAGAGATATGTAAAGCCTGCCCTCTGGTGAGTACTTAACAATGAAAATAATTGAATGCAAGAGTTCAATGTGGAGGGGGAGGGGGAAGGGGTGTATCACTAAGAGATGTAAATCCAGGTCTCTGGTGAGAACTAAACAAAGGAGATAACTACAAATGAGATTCAGTGGGAGGAACTTTGGGGACTGTATGCCATTTATAGAGTTGTAAAGCCTTTTCTTTTTGAGAGAATTGACTAAGGGAGATAATTGACAGTTATAGTTAAAATACAGGAAAGTAACTCTTCAGTGTATGGCAGGTAGATAGTTATGGACCATTCTCTCTTCTATTTTCTAGACATATCTACATTCTAACTGCAGTTGACATGTTCAGCAAGTTTCTGTTTACAGTCCCATTAGCTGCAGATGATGCCTGGACTGTCTCGGAATGACTCTTTATGCTGTTTACTACATTTGGAACATGTGATATACTTATATCGGACAGGGGACGGAATTTACAGCAAAAGTAACACAGACACTTTGTGATTTGTTTCAAATCAAACAGATATTCACATCCAGCTTTACAGTACTAACCACACCCAACCTGACACCTCGGGACTGTTTTGGGACTGCTGTGGGACTGCTCTTGGACCGCTGTGAGATTTCTCTGGGACCGCTAAGGGACTGCTCTAGAAAGCAGACCTAGCAGTCCCAGCATTCCCCGGGACTGCTTTCTGGGACTGCTTTGTTCATTCATGCTTGAGAAAGGTTCTGAGTGACATGATAGCTCCGCCCCTTGTGTATTCTGAATTTGCAGGCTTCTTGTTGTTGTTCTGTTTCAGCAGAGAGGTGTTTAAGATAATAAATAAAAAAACGTGGATTTCTTACCAAATTTTAACAAGTAGAGATAGATATACATGTGATTACTATATGTCTTAGGGGCTCTAAATTTACACAACTGTAGTCTAGAAATAATTAAAAAAAATGAAAGTAGTTAAAAAGAGAAGTCAGGAGATGATTTTTATCCCTCAAACTAAACTTTAATACAGATGTTTGAAAAAAAAATTATCTAAGCCTATTTAATTAATTAATGTTATCAATTTATGTACGCAAAGTTTGCATTAGTACTATTTAAAAAAAACAAAAATGTTATTACAGCAAGATATTCAGAGGGACCTACTGTACTGGATTTTTTTAATTAAAAAATATAAAACCATGCTTAAAAAGCGCATTCCATGCTATTTTTACCGCCCTCAAATAAAACGTAATAATTCATTAAATGACCATGAAATAAAATTATTCTACCATCCTTCCGTCATATAAACAACTTTAACTTTAGTATTGTGGGATTTATTTATGAATTAGTTTTTAATTTATAAACAAGTTATTAAAAAGTACATTTATTTAAAAAATAAACATTTGAAAATATTGTGAATTGTGTGTTGTCAACACCTGAGGTTTCAATCGCCTTTGGGCATGATTAGCAGAAAATCAATGAATGGTATCAGTGTTACACATCTCTGAATATGCTGGTCAACAATGACATTATTTTCAATCTATGAACTGCAAAAAATCTTTGTTTCAATAAATGTGTAGATTTATTTCGGGATTGATTAATTTTAAACATAATCTGAGGGTTTCATTCGCGTGATTTACAGATGTATACTCGAACGTTTATATAATGAAAAACTTAAAACTGAGTGTTATTGTTTTCTGTTACATAGAGAATCTAATGATAATGAAATTGGGAAGTCAGTGAAAATAATCATGACTGAAATATAATACTCAGGAAAATCTAACAAAGAATTTTACAAATGCCCCAGTACTTTCCAGTAAGAAAAATGCATTCAGAGTATAGTATGGAAATCGGCCTTGCTCTGTAATTATAAGATCTACTTAAAGTAAATTCTAATGGAAAAAAAGTAATTCAAGTTTAATGTTCTTTAAAAATAAATAAATATGGAAACCAAGCTCAATCACAGAGAATAAAGGAATTAATTTATTTTGGTGAAAAATTAAAATACCACATAACTGTTTTTAAATAATCATATTATTAGTAGGTTAGAACGCCTTCTTCGTTCAATATTTATTATTTGTTTCTATACACGTAACGTGATTTTCTTAACAGTTCAGAAATGACTGTCACATAAGAATTGTAAATATTTGTTGTTACTGCTCAGAAAGAAATGCGTCATCATTTCCACTGCCTTTTATAGTTACATTGCTTATTGCTAATCTCATTTATGAGTAAGCTCCGCCCATTAAATTATTTAACCCCGCCCACTGGGACTCCTGGGACTGCTTTCTGGGACTGCTGGTACTGCTTTCTGGGACCGCTGTGGGACTGCTTTAGCAGTCCCAAAGCAGTCCCAGAAAGCAGTTCCCGGGACTGCTCTGGGCCTGCTTTTTGTCAGGTTAGGTCTGGTTGGTACTGTATGCCTCACTGTTTAGGTACATTTGTGCCAAACTGGCGCCATTTTTAAATTCCAAACGGAACAAAAGTTCTACCTTTCGTTACATTTGCTATGAAGATCTATGTAAACTCTACTGTATATTCACCATTTGAAATTTTGTTTGGTGACAGACCTGCATTTCCACTTTCAACTCATATACCTACCTCAGCACTTCAAGGCCTTCCAAAGACTGAACATAACTATGTCAACAATTTGCATACCGTTTTACGATGACTTTAGTGTGTGTGCTCACTAACACCGAACATTACAAAACACAAATAATATAAAATGCAAATGAACTCACCAGACCCTTGAATTTGACAGTTGGTGATTATGTTTTTCTACAAAGGGAACCTACTGGAGCCGCCCAGAAACTACAAAATAAGTATGTTGGAGTCTATTTTGTGCATAGTGTAGATTCTCCATATATGGTAACATTGAAAGATGAACCCACTGGAAAAGTATTTTCAACTCCTATTCATGCTGATAGTCGGAAAATGGCACATGTCCGTTAATCAACACCATTATCGTTCTTCAAAGTTTTCACCTCTATAGCTAATAAGTCTCAAGGAGATGAAAGTAC